ATGGCAATCGCCATGCCAATGTCAAAATCGTGTAGGTCCCCGCTCAGAACATGACAACTGACAAAAGCAACAAGCATCTGACAGACAGGCGACAGGGAGTGAGATGGGCATACTGGGGAAGAGGGACAGGGAGAGCAAACAAACATCAGAATCAGCATCTGCATCAGCAGGCAGCAACAACATTTCAATTAACAAAAGCCCAAGGAGAAAGGGGGCGGTGGGCTGTGGAAGACTGAAAGGCTGGGCAACGTCGTCTTCTAATCGCCGCCTGTCAAAATAAAGTTGTGTGGTGCATCACATGGGGAACCTCCTTAGGGTAACGACTGGCCACACTGCCAAAAGTCGGATTATAAAGTTGATATAGGGGATGGATTTAGTGAGAATCAATTAAAGTATCTTTAAGCTTACTAAGCCTATGAGTTGCTTTATAACTTTGATAAATAAGTGGTTGCTGAGGAGTCTAAGTCTAGGCTAGAAGGTCTTACTAAGTGGATTTTAACTAATCAGGAAGTACAAGTGTAGTCACAGATAATAAGTTAAAAGCCAAGAAACTTATAGTTTGGTTAATATATTTCCACATCATTAGAATCTTTTAACCAAGAACAGTTAGTAACTCAAAAATACACCTTTTCAAAAACTAAAATCAACTCAAATTTCTCTCAGTGCACTGTCAAGTCTCCTGCCTCTCCTGGCTGCATTCATGTATGTCTGCTAAAATGCGCAATTAAGTCATCAAATGTTTGGCCTGAGTGTCCAAGCGACTTGACACAGCCACAGGCACCGAGTCATTGGGAAGACCAAGACCAAGACCAAGACCAAGACCACGACCGAGACCAACTTGGAAACCGAGTTCGCATTAGACTAATGCATTTGGGTGCAACCAGGAAGCCAGCATCCAGTCCGGTCCACATTCTGGACTTGTTCAGCCGCAGAGAGGGAAACTGGCCAAATGCGAAAGCCCCCATCTGCCAACTTTTACTGCTTCTGGCCGCCGTCGACTGTGCTAATGAAGCCCGAGACCGCGAACAGGATCTTGTTAGAGCGTCTGGGCGGAGAACGGCCCCAGATCCGTTAGGAGCTGGCTACAATTTATCAAGTGCCATTGCTAGGGCCTGGCTAAAAGCATGGCCAAAAGCCCAGCGGCGTCTCATTAACGCTTCCAGTCGCGTAGGCGTCGCGACATATGGGGATTCGTTGAAAACGCCGCGGATTGATGCTGACGATTGCGTTCGAGTTGACCCAACTCACGTCCGATCTTGGTGCACACAAAAAAGGTGAGAGATAGCATCTAACACTTCCAGGTTACAAAGTAAGTTGGCTTTCAGCCTGGTTAGTTGGTAAAAACTTAGAGCAATGCCTAACAAGGCTTCCTTCTTAAGGTCAATATCTGTTAAGTATGAAAATTCTAGAATAAATCGATATTATTTTCGCACGGTGTAAGAGCTGCCGTAGGTGGATGTTCCAATCTGGCAACACGTGTTTTTTTAGCCAAATTGCTATCTGGGATCGGCAGACTCGAAATGCATCCATCTGCGAGCTGGCTTTCTCCGCAAAGTGCCTCTCCGAAGGGGGGCGAAATTAATTTGCGGAAATCTCGACTCGAGTGGCTAAAATATTTCAAGAAAATCACGATTAACAACTTGAATTCCAGCTTCAGATCTGCGCGGGCGATCGGCTGCTGCTATCGGCGTTGGCCAGACACTTTCACAAGCTTTTCGGCCAAGTGACATTTGTGCCAGTTTGCCGCTTGGCTTAATTTGCATTTGGTTCTGATTAAGCCGACGCCGTCTGATTGATGGCAATTTCTAAAAGTTTATATTTTTTGGAGTTTCCATTGGGGGAAATCAATGCGCTGTGTGGGCGAGATCTGGGCAGCGCCTTTTGGTCAGCTGGAAGTTGCCACAATTTGGCAACAATTTGTAAGTGGCATGACGGCACAAAAATTGCGCGTTTTTGTCCGCTTCCCACCTGAATTTGGCCAACAAAGCGATGGCCATTAAATTAATTACATGGGGCAGAGCACTCCTCCGATTTCAATTAAACCCAAATTACGAAAATTAAACGCAACAAAGAGCCAAACTGGTTATCAGCATCGCCATCGCCATCGCCGAATCCTGATCATGGCTAGAACACTTAACTTGGTTTACACACGCTCTAAGCAACTGAGGCGACCTCTGTGCCTCCTCTGACTTGTGGCCACTAAATTGCCTCCATCCATATAGAAACCTCCTTCGATGTACAAAAATATAACCGCACGGGGCATCCGAGGCGATGGGGTAATCATAATCCGCCGGGAAGAACAGGAAATATAATGAGCTTCCAAAGCAACGCCCTTCAATTTAGCCAACTCCTCCTCCTCGTTCCCCTGCGGCTGTTTGGCTAATTTTATTTGCGGTTTTCGATTTTATTTCATAAACACATTTTCTGCCTGGCAAAATACCTTGTTCCCCCTCCTTGGCCATGGCAATTTTTGATTATAAATTGAATTTCCCCCCACTCGAGGCGAAATCAATCAACTCTTCTGTCTTCTTCCCCATTCACTTGTAAATCTTGTGTTTTGTTAATGCGTTTTATGGATTCACGATTAGGTGTTGAATCAATAAAACGCGGGTTCTGACTTCTCAGCAGCCACTTTGGGACAAAGACTTGGGCCCATTAAGTTGGCTTATACAACCTCTCGGTCGGGGATTGTGTCACACTCCAGGGAGGGGGTTAAGTTCTCTCTCTGACAAACAAGAAGAAACTTTGATTGGTTTTCTTCGCTGACAGCCAAAGAAATTGCTCATACGCCCCATGGAAAAGAAACCAAAAATTAATTAGAAAATATGTATGTTGAAGAAAGCCGAGAGAGCTGAAAAATCAGCCGCACTTCAGTGGAGCGCGGAGCATTAAAGGGGCGTTACTTGATATGTCCGCGAATCAGTTAAAGTCGGATTAAGGCCCAGCCCCCCACCTCAACTAAAGCCATCCCATCCCCTCTTTGTCGGCCTTTTGCCATTTCAATTAAAATGCCATATATCATGGCCAAGAGCCTTTCGTTCCATCTCCCTCTGCCTCCCCCTATCTGCCACGACTACTGCGCACATCCGATGCAATTAAAATCAAATACGTAGCTCATTTTTAAATCAAAGCAAATCGTAAACCGATAAGCCCAGAGTGGACCACCCGAGAGTCTGGGGACTAGCCTCTTGCTTTTCGCCAACTTCAATTAGCCCGGCTGGAAGAAAGGAGGGCCGCCGCCAGACCTTATTTACTTTATTTACTTTATTGTTGAGGGAGAGCTGAGATTCCTAGGCAAAGTGTTCGAGCTCCGCCGGGCGCTTAATTACGCTTTAAGTAGCCGCCAGTCAATATTGATTTTGGTTTATTTAAACTGGGAATTTAATAGCCCCAACTGATTGCTAATGGGTCGTGTATGCGGCTTCGAATGGAGTGCATCTCACATTACACGGTTACGAGTTCGGTTTCAGGGCCAATTTATGACACACTCCGGTTGCAGGCACATTTTATGGCCGCGCCCCAAACAAAATCTAATTAACAGTTTGCGTAGATTTATGAACAGAAGTCCATGCAAATTAAGTATGCGCAAGGGAATGCTCAGAGGACAAAGGATGATGCGAAAAGATGCCGAAGATCTCAGAGATACGGAATGCCTTATCGATGAAGGGCACTCAGTCAGGCGGCAAAAGAAGAACTCAATTTATGAAGTCGACGTTTGGAATTTATGAGAGGGCAGGATCGTTCGGGATACCTCGGGCTGGATGCGAACCCAAAGTGACAGGGGAGCAAGAACCTAAGGAGGATGGACTCAGTGGACCTGAAGTTCTGCCAACTTTATTTAACTGCTGCTGTTGCCACTTAGCTGCATGCAATTCATTTGGCCAGTTAACAAAACTCGACCGGAATGGCGTGGGGAAAAGCACGTGCTGGCCACAAAGTTGATAAATAACTTTCCGGTGTCAGTTTTGCAAATAGTGGGGCATTAATAACACCTTCTTAGCGAGTCCAAAGAGTCGCCCCCAGCCGACTGAGCCTCTTATGCCGGATTATTTCTACCATAATTCGACGGCGACCTGCAAGATTTTTACTTTCAGCAATGGAAACTGATATGCGTGGCCAACAAGTGCTGTTGATCAGGTGAAAATGATAAACTGCGGATCTTTTTATAGCCCGCAAGGTATTTTAAGAAGTTCTTTCAATAATACAGTGCCAGAATTCTAACACGTTAACAACAACATGATGGCCATCTGACAACTTGAGACTTAAGTATGAGCTGTCCATCATTTAATTTGTATTTCTCTATAAATAAGACCCTAATTAAATTGGAGGATTTTGCCCTATTAAGTACAATCTTTACACTCTCAAAACAAATTATAAAACCAAGGCCCGAAGACAACACTTATTGTTTATTACTTTATTATCTGTTAGACAATTGCATTTGTATTGAGTAAACTATTTGGCCTTCATACTTCATATTTCTCTTTCAAAATTGTGAATACTACTCGTATTGGTAGAAAGTTGCAGACCCACATTGCCAGCAGCAGTTAAAATTTATTAAACTAGCCAATAACAAAGTCGACATTTTCGATATATCTAAAACCAAAGGAAAGACGGAAATCTATAAAAAGGCCGGCCAGTTTAATGTGAGTTGCTTAGGCAATAACTTCTGGACTACCCATTGCATTTGAGAAGCCATTAAATATGATTTCAGTGATTAGAAGCAAGTCCCCTAGCCCCAACCAATGCTCAATTCGGGCTGAGAACAACGCTCATATAAAGCTATTTAGGAGCCATTAAATTGGCCCATAAACTCCCGACTCTCAAATCCCAACTCCCCCCACCAACGCATCGTTTTATAGTCACTTAAGCCGAAAAATGCAAAGCTCATCAAATGGATTTCAAATTAGTTGGCCACATTCCCGCAGCCAACTTCGATCTTTCCCCTGCCCGGTTATCGCCGAGAGTTATGGCCATTAGAGATAGGCCAGTGAAAGACTTACATTTTGGCTGATGTCGCTGCCGGCGGTGGCGGCCTCTTTGAATGTCCATCAAACCTGGCCAATTGTTCTTCAATATCGCTGAGCTGGATATCGTCGGCAATGGCCTTGTTGAAGTAGCAGAAGCTCTCCTTCTTGTCCACCTCGATTAGCTGATCCGTATCCTTGGGATTCAGCCAGACGGCGTTCCTATTCCGACACTGATTCAGGTTCCTCAGATCGCCAAAGGGCAGGGACACGGCTGCCAGCTGATCCTTCTGCTGCCTAGCAGCCTCCTGCATCTTGGCCATCTGGGAGGGAGTCAGACTGCCGGTCAGCATGGCCACCTCCACATCGTCGTCGGTCTCCCCGTTGCAGGAGATGCCCGAGGAGTGGAACTGCTCTTCGCTGCTTAGCTTCCTCTGCTCGCAGCCGGAGGACTGGGCCACTGCCATGGCCAAAGTGGGAGCTGGTGATTCATTGGGCAGTTCCAATGCTATTTCATAGGGTGCCAGGGTGATCCTGGGCTTTGGCTTGGTTTTGCGTTCGCACTGCTGACTTGATGATGCACTTCGCGGGGGTGTTACCCCTATTCTTGGAGCAGGTGGACTTGCCACTCTGCTTTTTGGGTGTAAGTTTGGTCACTGTCGATAGCCGGGATTGTTGCCCGGCACTTATTTGTGGCATTTTAGGGGGCTGAACCTGATCCTCCAGCCGCTCCCGGCTGGCCAAACGCTCCCGCTCCGCCGAAACAGCCCTCCGGCGACTTCGCCGTATACTGGGCATATTTCGGGGGAACAGCTTGCCCACCTCCGCCTGCGAGCTCTTGGACAAACTGTCGCAGCTGCGGTGCCGAGTTGGGCTGCCACTGCTCTCGGTGGTGGTGGAGCTGTCGCTTATGGTGGTAGCTGTATTGGCCAGCACCGAGGAGCACTCGCTGAGGTTGATGATGTCCCGGTAGTTCCGGGACTGATCCTGCTTGACCACCTGCGGCAGGCGGATCTTCCACCAGCGCTTCTTGGCGGGCATGGCGGCGGTGATGGTGAGTGGAACGCGTCAATCACGGGTCGCGAGGCAATCAATCAATTGACACATTAACAGGACGGGGGAACACCTTAACTAGTTGGCAGGTATGCGGCGGCCTGCAATTACCGTCGCCAGCAATTAACGGGCAATCCGCTTGCTCCAATTACGTGCTACACTCGCGATCGATGGGATCGTATCGGATTGGGACGGCTCGAATTGGATTCTTTAGAAATCTTGATTCACGGAAGAGCAGCTCTCGCACCGCTCGCTTCGGGGCTGCTCAAACAACTGAAGATCGCGTAGAAAGTTGATGTTGGCCGAAAGGCGGGTATCGGCCAGGTTGGTGCAGGTCAAACTCACCACTGAGCAGATCGCCGGCTGCTCAACTCAACTCACCACTATTCTCTCTCGCTCGCTTTTGGCCGAAAACAAGTGCAGGTAAAACAGGTGCCACCTCGAGTCGAGTGGTTTTGCGGTTGAGTGCTTCTGGTTCGAGCCAGAACCTGGTTGCGTTTATTAGCCAGCTATTGAAGTGGCAACTGGTAGCTGCAACTGGTTGATGCAGTTGTCTTCGGGCCATTTGACACATTTCAGGCCGTTTAGTGATTGACCCATTTCAATCACGGCCAGGCCAGCAACAAGGGAGGATGACTGCAGCAGGGACCCTTAAGCGTTTTGTTGCCACATTAGCGAAGCACTCATAGGTGGTCATTAGACTGCGGGGCAAGTGAAAATGTGGTAATCAGGTAAGGCCTCTCAACAATGAAATCCATCCGGGTGCCCGGGGCCACTAGTTGGCCAATCGAAATGAAGACAGGCAGATGGATAAAATTTTAACAAAGGAATAATAAACCAATCAGTGGATAGTAGGGTTTGTGGTTATTCCTAATGCCGAAAGGGACTTCTGTGGAAGTACACTCTGGTGGGAATGGACCGCGTTCGAAACTCATCGAATTTCCCACATTATTCAATTAACACGAAGCTACTAGTTAGTAGCTACTAGTTGTGGTAGAACTTGAGAGCTAAGTGTGTGAAGTAATCTCCTACAACGGACTATTGTTACTAAATATTTCAGGGAATGAAAACCCTTAGAAAAACTTGAAACATTCAAGCAAACATTTAATTTGAAAATTCAAACATTTCTAATTAACTTCAATTAGAAACTTGCGGTCAGTTCTTAACTTCTTCTAACAATTCAAATCAATTTCAGCACAATTTTCAGTTTTCAACTTACTTTTAAAACTCTCCCAGTCGTTGGGCTGCCATCGCGTTTAAACAAATTGTTTTTCCAACTGCAATGAAAAGAAGAAAGCAAATAAATTAATTTTCTCATTTAATGTTAAATATTTGCACTCTTTTTCGACACTCGAAAGAGTGATGGGCCCAATTGCCCAACTAATTGAGAGCAAGACCAGGGGGAAGCCAGGGAACAGTCAACATGAAGCGACAGAAGGCAAACGAAATAAGGAAAGTGACTGCCAAAGTATTTTAATTGCCCGGAGTTCCCCGGAAAAGTGAGGGCTTCAAAACTTTATTTGACAGTTGGAAGGAACAACTGAACAATTCATGAAACAATTTTGATTAAAACTGAGACACACGGTCTCCAGCTCGAGAAATGTCAGCACAAGCAGTTGGCAGATGCCAGCCACCCAGCAGGTGAGAATGAGTGCACGGAAAAAATAATATGATGATGGAAATGCAATTTGAATCTCAAGATAAGTAATAAGTTAGTGGGTATTATCTAGCATTCTCATGGCTCTCTAAATCATTCTAATTCACCAATATAAAAATCATTTGCAACAACTTAATACATTATTATCTATGATCATTTATGGAATTAATGGAAAGTGTCGTTTATCTAACTTTCCTTCCTTAATGAAAGAATAAACTATACTTTTGTCGGAAGTTGCTTTTGGGTTCAAACCATTTTTGGATGTAAAGTAATTACCATATAATGATACAATAGCATAATCCCACTAAACTTCTCACTAAAGTTCTTCATCAGGAAGTTGTAGACTTTACTAAGCAGATTCGGAGCTATGAAATAGTTCCATTCAAGAGTGATGTAACTTAAATGATGATCATAAATCAGAAGGAAATTGCTTTATCAAGTTTAATTTAGCTTTTTTTCATCTAATTTTCAAGTGATTAATTTTCTCTAAATACAAAGATATATTTAAACGAAAATTCTAGTCTAGACTTTCACTTTTTTGGTTCGGAACTTGCAAAGAACCTACTATACTCTTGGACCAAGTAAGCAAGTTAAGAGCTGATATTTTAATAACGATATAATAGTATACGAGTATCTTACTAATCTAATGCTAAAGCTAAGGCTAAGGATTCGTTTTATTCAAAAGGAATAAGTGTGATATTACTATAAAAGATTCCCTCAAATGTAAGCTATGAAATAGTTAGATCTGATAGTACACCACTAACTTAAAAGATGGTCATAAAGTAGTCAGATATTTCATACAAATTTCTTTAAGCACAATTTTCTTTTAGTGTTCTTCCCCTCCCCTTGGCCCTGTCCATAGCCAACAGGTAAAAGTCAGCGTCATCCCAGAAGCGAGCACAAAAATAACAGACGCAAAGTGACGCTAGTAAAACAACGACGATAATATCCTGCAGAGGTCGTAAAAGTTGAGATTTGAACGTGCAACGTACACGTGTAAGTCAGAAGTTGGCCCTGGGTGGGAAGGGGGCGTGGCCGTTTGACGCAGCTGCCGCCACTACGCGACACAAGATGGCGCTGGCGAGCACTAAAAAGTATTAAAACAATTTACACTTTGTAAAAAAGCAACAACGGCAGCAATAACATCAACTGTTGTGCGGCTTGTAGCACGTGTTGTGTGGGCTGGTGGGTTGCTGCAGTGTGAGGGGGTTGTTCTGTAGTTCTGTTTTCATATTTTTTTTCACTTGGCCCAAACAACATGGTGCCCTGTCATAATCATAACTATATCTCAGTGGGAAAGACAAAAATGGGAGTGAAAAATAAGGGGAAAAAAAAAACTGAAATAAAATCAAGGCTGCCGTTGACAATCGCGTTATCATAATTCTTTTCTGCTAAATTCAAATAGCATTTTCGCCTATTTGCATAAACAATGTGAAAGTCGTAAAGTGAAAAATTGCAAAATATATATTAAGAAAAAAAAACACGAGCGAGTGGGGAAAGGGAAAGAGAAAGGGAGCGGCGAAAGCACTTGAAAGGGGCGGATGGGCGGTGCGGCGGATGGGCTTAGAACGCACAAAAAGTAAGGCTGCAATTGCTCGCTGAACAGTAAACGCACAGTGGGACTCATTGGGTAGGAAAGAGGTAAAAACGAATACCTATTCCGCTAGGAAAAAATTTAATCAAGCTGAGAGAAAGGCAGCGGTATAGCATATTTGTGATATAAATATCTTCTATACAACACCTATAGCTACAAAGTTTTTTACTTATATAGAGTTCTTAAAGATATCATTTCAAGTTTTGTTGGCACGAAAAAAGATTTAACGCATTTCTCTATCAAACATTAAAAGTTCTTAAAAATGCACTTAAATCTCAAACTAAATGTTTATTCTTTGGAAAAGTTTAAGTATTTGCCAGGTAGAACCACAGTAAGCCTCTTCTTGCAGTTCTCCAGTTACATCCGCTTCGGCATAAAAACCACCAACAGGGAGTCTTTTTTATGAAAAGCGAGATGCGTAGCCCCAATCCGCTTGCCAATCTCGGCGGCAGTGCCTCTACCTTCACCTCCATCATTGCTCCCTCTGCTGACTTCCTCTTAAGACAATAAGCACTGGGCCAGAATGCTCGAGGGAGGAGGGACGATGCTGGATAAACAGGGAGAAAGCAGCAGGAGTCGCCACAATTCACACACTCGCATGGCAGGAGTGTGTAGGCGGCAAATGTTTCCCTAATGATGACGTCGCTTATGAATTGTTGTTGCTGCCGGGGAAATGTGGCAAAAAATCTCAAGTGTTGCCTTCGTAATATTTATGAAAAATCTTTCCCTGAGCCGGGGTTGTGGGTAAAAGCAGCGGGACAACTGGGAGGAGCAATGATTACGTTGATTTGCCAAATGGCGCTGATGACAGTCGGCAGCTGAAGAGGCTCCGTTCAGCCAGTGACTACGTGAGTCTACTGATTTTTAATTAAAAACGCAAAAACCAGAGCGTTTGAGGGGGAAACTCAACCGAACAGCGGGTGAGAGTTGGCAAGAAAGAAAAAAAAAAAAAAAAAAAAAAGCCGGGCTCGAAGGCAGAAACAAGAGGGGAAAACTCAAAGTGCGCGTCACAAGGTTTCCTTTTGTTAATCGACTTGATTGTAAATATTTTCTTGCATAAGCCCTGTTCTTCTCCCCCTTCTCATAGTCTTTGTGCCACTCCCCTATATTTGACTATACAGAAGAAAAATATTTGGAATTTGAAATTAAACTTTGAGAACTTGGGAATTAACGGTTATATAATTAAAGATAAAAGATATTCTAGAACTCGATTTTTAAAATGGACGAAGTAAAACCAATTATTTTGTTACTCGAACTTATAAGTTTAAATAGGTTGTGTTTCTTGTTTCTCGTTTTGTATCTCTAACTTAGATCGATAGATAGAAAGTAAGGCTTAATATACTATATCTACCTCAAAGAATTATCATTATATTTACTGTTCTAGATCGTTAATTTGCAATTTCTTATCCCTTTTTCTTCAAGTGCTGGTTTGTTTGTCAAAGGTTCTGTGACTGTTGCTGCGCTTCTAACAGAACAATCACCCAGAAACACCCACCACCCCCCCACCGCGTCTGCACCTGTAGTCCTTGTTGGCAGTGGCTTCCCTTTCAACACCCCCTCACACCACCCTCTCCACGTTTTGGCTTTGTTATTTATGGCATTGTTGTTGCCACGTGATGCTGTTGCCGTCGTTTTCCGTTGTCGATGTCCCCAGTTGATGCGTGCTGCTTCCTTCCCCCAAAACCACCCACTGCTGTTGACTTTTCACGCCCCTCAAAGGGGAGACCAAGGCACCAGTTTGTGTTTTTAATTTGACAAACATCTCGCGATTCCATTGCTTCTGTCAGCGGCAGACGATGGAGATTTCCATGCTAACATTATGGCAGAAGGAGAAAGCGAACCTTTTTTAACTTCTTTCTATTCCTCTTTGGAATAAAGCTGAATAATCTAAAGCACAAATGTCAAAAAAAAAAGTGAAATTAAAGCTTTAAATGATAATAAAGTGTAAAAAAAACGAGGAAGGTAGTTAGCAGGATAAAAAAAACATATAAATTTTAAGAACTTGAAACGTAAACTTTAAACTTT